GAACATATAAGTGGTATAAAGCCTAGCATTGAGTATCACCTGAAATAATTTAAAAGTGTTTAAAGTTCTAATTTTTTCTTTTAATAATTTATTTATAAACGATCACCTTTAAAAATATAAGGTATTCCTAAAAATTAATTAATTAAACAGATATATAAAAAGATAATTTTTTTAGTAACATTCTAGCTTAATTTATGTAGTAGCCATATGGTGAATTTTAGTAGTTTTCAGTAAAAACCAATTTGAATAATACTTATTAATTTTATTTTGAGATATATACTGAAACTTTCATGTGGGGTATAACCGTTCCCTCAACAAAAATATGCGCACAACATAATAACGAACACCCCACAATTAATTTCGTTATTTCTTTTACGTTACATACGAACCAGTTTTATTCACTATGTGAGGGTTAAGGCTTACCTAGGGTTATAGCTCTCCCCTTTAGGGTTTAGCTCCTTTAATTTGCTTAAAATGTATTTAGTTTATTTATGATAAGTTATTGGTTGAAAATATAAGTAGTAAAAAGTTAAGCATGGAATATTACCAGGAATTATTTAAAAGTGTATAAAGTTCTAATTTTTCTTTAGTAGTTTATTTATAAATGATCACCTTTGAAAATATAAGGTATTCTTGTAAATTTCTTAATTAAAAAGATATATACAACGATAATTTTTTAGTAACATTCTATCTTAATTTATGTAGTAGCCATATGGTGAATTTTTAGTAATTTTCAGTAAAAACCAATTTGAATAATACTTTTTAGTTTTAGTTTTGAGATATATACTCAAACTTCATGTGAGGTATAACCTTCGTTCTTTCTGAAAGATATATACTTACTGAAAGATTTCTCAACAAAAATCCGCACACAACAGAATAACGAACACCCTACAATTAACTTCGTTCTTTCTTCAACATTATATACGAACCATTTTTTTCACTTTGTGAGGGTTAAGGCTCCTTAGGGTTAAAGCTCCTCCTCCTTAGGGTTTAGCTTCTTTTAATTTGCTAAAAGTATTTGATTAGATTTTAAAAATACATTTTTGGTAAGTTTCTATAGTTTTAAAACATTGTTTAGAACATTTTAATTTGGTAAAAATATAATTAGTATATCTATGAAATTAAAAAAATAAGAATATATTAGTAAAAAATAAGTATTATATCGTAATATTTGATCTTATTGTTGTAGTAATGGAATGTGTAGTATCTTTCAGTAAGACTCTCTTATTGAAGTCTAACTTTTCTTAATTTGCTAAAAGAAAAAATATGTTTTAAATGTTAGGTTTTTTTAAAAATAATATAAATTGTATATTTATAAAATAAATTAATCTTTGATTAGTATAAAATGTGAAATTGGTTATAATATTTTCTTTAATAAATCTATAAATATTCCTTTCGTACTATGGTCATGATAT